AAAAAAAAAAAAAAAAAAAGGTAAAGGAGTGTTATGTGATCAGATATACTATAAAGATGACCCTGGAGGAGATCTTTATATGAGCTCAGTAGCTTGAAGCTGCAGTAAGTTATAATCGTGCCACTGACTTTAGTCTGAGTGACAAAGAACCAGTCTCTGAAGAAAAAAAAAAAGATCACCCTGACAAGAGGCTATCAGGATCCTTAGTTCTAAGTTTCTGATGAGGACTTGAAATAGGACCATGGCCACAGGGAGAACTTAGTCACCACGGGGTGGTTTATGAGGGGGAGAGGCACTCAGCCGGATGGGTGTATGTTTCCTATCAGGGCTATAACAAATTACCACAAACTTCAGAGGCTTAAAACCACACAAATGTATTATCTTACATTTCTAGAGGTCAGAAGTCCAAAATGGTTTTTGCTGGACTGAAGTCACGTCGGGGGTTGTATTTCCCTGTGGAGGCTCTGAGGAAGAATCCCTTGCCTCTGCCAGTTTCACAGGCCACTGCATCCTGTGGCCCAGGCCCCTTCTTCCATCTTCACAGCCAGCAGTGCAGCATCCGCCCCCTCCCATGATCCTCCTGTTTCCCTCTTCCACCTAGAAGGGACCTCATGATTACATGGAGCCCACCTCAATAAACATGGGTCATCTCCCCACCACAAAATGCTTAACTTAACCAAAACGACAAGTTCCTTCTGTCACGTAAGGTACCATATTCATAGGTTCTGAGGTTTGGGACGTGAAGATGCTTGGGGGCTATTATTCTGCTTATCACAGGGGGTCATCAGTGAGGCGCACTCAGGAAGAGGCTGTGAGCGGAAGATGAAGTCGGCATTGGATGGACCAAGTGTGAGGTGCTTGGAGGACACCCAGGGGGAGATACCTCCTGGCATCTCCAAACACTAACTTAGCACCTCCCAAGAGACAGCCACTGCAGATACAAAGGTGAACGTTGTATTTCAGTGATCCCAAGATACCTGCTTTTTCACTTTTAGACATTTCTGAAATTAAGATGAATCTTTTAATTCATGACAACTTAACAACTGTAACTGGCAGGTTTTTCCTGTCCTGGAGACAGAGGGAGAGTAAGGTATCATACCACTGATGGCTTCATGGAATCAATAAAATTCTGGTCTTGGCTGGCACTAGAGTGAGCCTTACTAGAGAGTTAGCGCTATCACAGCCTAGTCCCCAGGCCTTCCCTTTCCTAGTTCCTAGTCTGGTTCCTTCAACTCTGGGCTCCTGTGTGTCCTGCAGCTCTGATGCTCAGATCCTTTGTAACTAATGGTCCCCACCAGAGCCACACCCATGTTCAGCTCTGTAACCACAGCAGGGTTCAGGAACCACCCCTCTCCCCAGGTGTGCCTCAGTCATGGGATTCAGGCTCAGTGGTTCTCAGCCTGGCTGCACATTGAAAACTCCCGGGGAGCTTTTGAAAGATCCAATGCCCAGGCTGCAACCTAGACCAACTCAAGGACAATCTCCGAGCTGTTACAGCTCCCCAGGAGATTCCAATGGGCAGCTAAGGTAGAAGAAACAATCTCACTGGGTACAAGGGAGAAGCAGCATAAGGCAGCACTGGTGGGGAGTGGAGGATGTTAGATCTAGGCTACAGAATAATACCTGTCTCCCATGCCCTCCTCCACTAGACTGAATTCCTGGAAGGGGACCGCCCAGTTACCCCAATTTCCTCAAGGCACTAGCCCTGTGCCAGGCACATTGTGAGAGCCCAGAGAATGTAAGCTTCGGGGCCTAAAAGTCATGCAGAAAAGACTCTGTGCCAAGAAAGTTCTGGGAAAGGAGCCCACTGGGTCTGAGCCAGCCCTCTGATTCACTGTGTGACCTCCAGTGAGTCAGTGCCCCTCTCTGTGCCTATACAATGCATGGTTGGCCCAGGTGGCATCAAAGTACCCTTCAAGAGCCAGCCTGAGTTTGCACTTTACCTAAGGGCTGTGGGAACTACTGCAAGGACAGTGGAAAAACCAGATTAGGGAAGACACTGGCTCTCAGAGTCATAAGGATCCCGATGATCCTGGCCCACCCATCCCATTTCTGTCCAATGTCAAAGAGGCTTCCTGCTCACCCCTGACAGGTCCCACCATCTTCTAGATGTCCCAGCCCTTCCAGGTCTAAAATCTCCACCTCTGGGCCTCTATCTGCAGGTGGCTGCAAGGACAAAAGATCCTGAAAGCCAAAGATCTAAGAGCAACAAAACAAGAACCCCCAGAGAAGACTGGAGAACACAGTACAAGTGAAGGGGAGTCTACATGGCAAGCAGAGTTCAGGTGGGGAGGCCACAGGACACCTGAGAGGCCGTGGCTCTGCCCTTAAGAGCAGTAAACTAAGATGAGGTGGTTCAGTACACCAGAGACACTTCCAAGGAGGAACTTCACAGGGGGAAACACTCAAGGTCTGAGGCAAGTCCAAAGAGGCTGTGGAGAAGGCCCCTGGCTTCTGGCCATCATCCTAGCCAAGGCCCTAATACAACTAAAGGCTTTTATTGGGAAAAGGAAATTGACCAAAAAGTGGTCTCCAATATCCTCAACTGCCTGAGGCAGCTGGGGCCTCCTCCACAAAGTCCAGGAAAGAAGGGGCCACCAAATTGGGCCTTCAGCAGGCTCAGGTGTAGAGGTCAAAGTCAATGCGTTTGGAGTTGTAGAACTGACCATCCGGGGGGTCCAGCTTCCGGCAATAAACACCATCTGGGAAGTAGCCTTCACTCACCCAGGTCTGCAAGAAGAGAGAAAACTGGGGAAGAACTGAGAGGAGTCGGGGGAAGAGAGGGACAGAGCAGAAGGAAGGAGAAAGGGGCTTACCTGCATCTGGGCACTGGTGAAGGGCCCATACAGTTCGGCATCCCCTGTGTTCTCCCACTTATATTCCCACATCACATCCACCAGACCATCTCCTGGTGACTCTGCCTCTAAAACAACAGGCAAAGTCATTTGGGCTCAAGTGTCCTGCCTCCTGCCCACTATGCCCCTACTCTGCCATCTAAGCTCACCTCCTCTCTGGACTGGAGTTGGGGTCTCCAGCTCCCCTTCTCCCACTTCCTCAGCAAACATATCCAGGGAGGGCGGGGGTGTGGGGTCATGGGGTCCCTGGGTCCGGCACCCCAAACCCTTCAGCCGCATGGCCAATCGTTCCCTTGTTTCCTGGTATACGCCAAGGTTGCCCCGGGCCACCATCTGGTCAGCCAACCCCGAGAGCCGGTCCAGGCGTTGGGGAGAACTGGGCCGCCCGGGCCCTTTGCTGCTCCCTTTGCCTCCTCCTCGGGCCCCCAGACGCCGCAGTGCTCCAGCCACTGTCTCTTTAGGCAAAAGCAGCTCCAGAAGTCCCTCCAGGAGGGCTTGGACACTCATTGGTGTCTGGCCCACACTGTCTTCCTCTTCTGAGTCTGAGGCCTGATGCTGATCAGGTGGCCGCTCCCTAATCTTCACCTGTCATGAGAACATAGGAAGTTATTTCCTACAAACTGCCACGGGGGCACAGACCTAGCACTTGCCACCCTCAAGCCCAGCCATGCCAGTCTCTAGGCCACACCCAGTCAATGTTGTCCAGCCAGCTGTCTCGGATCTGAGCATCCCGGTTCAGGAAGTAGTTGCCATCAGCATCAAAGTGGCCTTCCTCCATCTCCTCCTGCAGGTTGAAGGGTGTGATCCGCACACCCCCTTCACTGGGGAGTGTGGCTGCTTCCTGACCTGCACCAAAGACACAGTTGCCCACGTTAAGCATGCATAAAAGAGAAATGGGCCTCCTTTGTTACAAAACCCCAGAACCCCTTACTTATCCCTCCAGCAAAGTCCATTCTTGGGTATAGCTCACCTTCTACATCCTCTGAGGCCAGGATGTCATATTTACTAGAACCTTCATCATCATCATCCTCCTCATCACTGTCCAAAGAGTGTTTGCCTTTGAAGCGGCTCCCAGGACCCCCTGTCCCAGCCACAGGGTCCACCAGCTGTGAGCAGGAATCAGCAAGTTAAGAAGTGCAGGTTACTGGCTACTTCCCCAAATACTCCAGAATCTGGACTCAAACTGAAAATCCTCCAAACCCATTCCTCAGAGAAACTAACACTTTTGGCTGGATGCAGTGGCTCAAACCCATAATCCCAGCACTTTAGGAGGCTGAGGCGAGAAGACTGACTGAGTGCAGGGGTTCAAGACCAGCCTGGGCAACTTGGTGAGATCTCGTCTACAATAAGTCAAAAAATTAGCCGGGTATGGTAGCGCATGCCAGTAGTTCCGGCCACCTGGAAGGCTGAGGCGGCAGGATCGCAGGAGCCCAGCAGGTCAACGCTGGGGTGGCCATGAGTGTGACACTGCACTCCAGCCTGGGAAACAGAGTGAGACTCCACTTCGAAATAAATAAATAAACAAACAAAAAACTAACACTTTCTTTGTTCCCACCAGCTTTCTTCCTCTTCAAGCTTCTAGCTCCTTCCTCTCTTCCCCCCCCAGTCCCTTCCCAAGACGCAAAAGTTTGGTTCCCTCACCTTTTTCTTGGGGACACTGATTTCATCCTCATCCTCCTCATCTCCTACGCCTTGGAAGGTCACTTTCCTCTTTGGCATGACGGGACAGAAGGGCCTTCCTCAAGCTGAGCCGAGGAAAAGGACGCAGAGTAAGGGAACCAGATGAAGGGGCGGGGACTCACCGCCAGAGGAACCCTGGCACAACAAACATTTCTCCTGGTAAGTGACAGGTACGGTTTGGAAGGGAGGGAAGACAGAAGCAGGAGATCAAAGGGAGAAGAGGCCCCGGGACTTGGTTCGGCATCCGCGAGAGTTAATAGAGCGGACGCGCGGAGGATTCCCCCGCAGACCCTACGGATATCCCCACCCTGAACGAAAGAAGTCAGCTCCACCACGTGATCACCAAATATCCAGCCCCGCAGTCTGGGCGCGACGAGGCTCGGCGGACTGACTCCCGCTCCCCGACTCCTAGAGCTCGTGGGGTCCAGGCGGACCCAGGACCTGGAGCCCTAGCCACCCCGCTCCTCCCTGCTCCGAACTCCCAATTCCGCGTGGTGATCTCCAACTGTCCCAGGGTGTGTGTACAAATTAGAGGGCTACAGCCACGGGGATTCGGCAATCTCACCCGCGCGGGCTCACCTGGGGATCCAGAGCAGGCTCAGGGGAGAAAATGAGAGATGCTTTCGCCAGAGTTACATCCGGGGCACCTGGCCGCCATCACCCGGAAGAGGACTGCCGAAAGCACCAGGGAGGGCCGGAAGTGGCTTCACTCCAGTTAGAGAATGAACTCAAAGAGCGGGCGGAAGTTCATAGCGAGGGAGGGAAGACGCCCCCATCCTCTCTCCCGCCAGAAGTGACGTAAGCCGCTTGGGACGACAATGGCGAGAAGAAGGGCTTTAGAATGCTTAGGCTCGGATCCGGCAGGAGGGATGGCCGGAAGTGCATTCGATTCCCTCATCCAGCAGTGGAGGCTCCCAGGGTTAGGATGGAGGAGCAAAGTCCCAGAAGGCCCAGTGGGTACCTGTCTCACTTTCCCTTTCGTGGGTTGGAGCCATCGTTCTCCCAGGACTGGCCAAGGTCTCTGCTTTCCTTACCATCTCGTTAGGAATTCTCCCTTCCCGCTCCTATCGTCCAGTTTTCAGCCCTTCTGTTCTGAGAGGTGCGGCCTTGCCCTTCTCTCTGAGGGAAGGCCTGGCTCTCCTGATGGCCTACCTGTGTGCCCTAGAGCGGGGCACTGATGGGTACCGGTCTATGGTCTGTTAAGAACCCAGCTGCAGCCGGCTCGGTGGCTCAGCCTGTAATCCCACGCCTTGGGAGGCTGAGGTGAGTGGATTGCCTGAGCCCGCGGGTTCGAGACCCGCCTAGGCAATTTGGTGGGACCTCATCTCTACAATAAACCAAAAAATTAGCCGGGTGTGATAGCGCGCGCCTGTAGTTCCAGCTACTCGGAAGGCTGAAGCAGAAGGATCGCCGGAGCCCAGCGGGTGGAGGCTGCGGTGGCTGGGAGCGGCCACTGCACTCCCGTCTGGGCGACAGACTCCAACTCCAAAAAAAAAAACCCAGCTGCACAGCAGGAGGTGAGCAGCTGGCAAGCAAGCAGCAAAGCTTAATGTGTATTTACAGCTGCTCCTCATTGCTTGCATTACCGCTTGAGCTCTACCTCCTGTCAGATCAGCAGCATTAGATTATCATAGGAGCCCAACCCCTAGCGTGAACTGTGCATGTGAGGGATTTAGGTTGTGGCTCCTTGTGAGAATCTAATGCCTGATGATCTGAGGTGGAACCAAGGCAATGATGCTATATATTTCATTATATGTTACAATGTAATAATAAAGTGCATAATAAATTTAATATGCTTGAATCATCCCAAAGCCATGCCTTCTAACTCCCACCCCCACCCCATCTGTGGAAAAATTGTCCTCCAGGAACTTGGTTTCTGACGCCAAAAAAGTTGGGGACCACTGCCCTAGAGGGCTGTCTATGCATGTTCATAACATAGCTCCCCTTTAGGACCCAGGGGAAGTCATTTGCCCCAACCTTGAGCGAGTTCCTTCTGGAAATCCTCTACAGGAGAGGTGGTATCGACACCTGTGCCCAGTACCCAGGCCATAAGCCATTTGTGCCCTGCTCTCAGGTAGACCTGGAAAAAGGCAAGAGTGCCTCTCAAACCACAGCTGTATCATGAAGCCTGCCCCTTAGCAAAGCAGGTCCAGCAACTCCTGCCCAGACGATCTATATCCAGTCCAAGCAGAAGTGAGGCTGGGAGGTAGAAGGGATGGGTCCCCATGTTGAGACCAGACCTGTAGTTCTTGAGGACACTCAGAACCTGAATCTCCCCAGGCCAAGACTGCCCAGCCAGCACCTCCTGGAGCCAAAAGATGGCGGCATGTACCCCCCACTCCCCTAAAACTGGACGGACCGCTTCTCTTTTCCGTTTCCTCCCATAGTGGCTCACCATGAAACGGCACTGAGAGTCCATGCTGTCTTCCATGGGCACAGAACACCGGCGCCAGACCAGGAGGACATCTTGCTAAAGAAGGGGGCCCAAAACTGCCAGTGCTGCAGGCTCATCCTCTGGGGAAACCTCCTCTTCTACCTAGAACACCAGGCGGACTGCACACCCTCATCCTGTTTGAGAACTATCAGGAGGAGCCACGCCTTAAGGCCACAGAACCCTGTGCCTTTACCATCCTGACTCCTGGGGTGAAGGGCACAGGTAGGCAGGCCTATAACCTGCCCACAGAAAACCAGGAGCTGGGTTGGCTATGGGCACTGGCTGGGGAGGGCTGGAGATGGCTGGCTGTACTATTACCCTCCCCGAAGGCCCAGTGCCGGGAGCTGTGCCAGGTAGCTGGCCAAGAGCCCAGCTCACCCCCAGAGGATATGGCTTTCTAGGCACCTTCAGTCCCCTGCCAGCTTCCAGTTATATGAATGCTTTGGAAAGGAGATCCAGGTGCTGCAGGTGGTACATAGAGGGCTCCAGGTCAGTGACAATGGAGACAGCAGATCCCAGGCAGAACTGGAGCAGGAGCTCAGCCAGTGTTTGTTGACAAGTGACTGAGAGATGGACCAGAGGTCAAAAGGTTTCTACTTGCCAAAATCAGAGACCCAGGTCCTGGCTCTGTCGCTGCCTCCCTAGTCCTTACTCTAAACTCCCTTATCAAATAACAAGGCAAGAGACAAGCCCAGGTACAACAGCAGGTTCTTTTTGGGGTTCCTTGAAGCGCTGCATGGGGTGGGAGCAGAGAGAGAAGAGAATGTAAACATTGCGTTCCACCCCCTGGAGCTCAAGGGAAGACTCCTTACTCGGGGGCTGGAAGGTTGTAAGGGAACAAGGTGAAAGGTAGGGGGGTCCTGGTGAGACAAAGCAGGAGAGGCCTGAGAATACAGAGCAAGGTGGGTGAGAAGGAAGAGCAGGAGGGTGGTGAGAGGGGCAATGGGGGATAGTGCATGTCCCCTTAAATAAACCAGAGTGCAGGAACACTATGGAAGGAGAAGAACCAAAGGACAGAAGACAAAGCAAGCACTCCCACCCCAGGCTGACCTAGTCTTCTGTACATAATTACAACAGAGATGTCCAGAAGTAGAGCAAGGAGAGCCTTGTCCCCCAGCCAGGAAGTGGAGGAGGAAAGTAGGGCTGAAGAAGGGAAAAAGGAACCCAGCTCCCTCATAGATAAGGGAAGCCAATGGAGTGTAAGAATCTGCAAACTGCCGACTCTCATCGCCAAGAGTCACCCTTGTGATGACAAAAGACCAATGAGGACAGCGCCTGGGAAGGGATCCCCAAAGGAGTAGGAGTGACAGAGACCCCAGCGGGTCTAGTTGGAGGTGAGAGGCTCCAGACTTCTTCACAGCTGCCCCAGGACAATGCAGCAGCCCTGAGCACTGTGGCTGTCCTGACTGAGTAGGGATCAGCAGCTGGCAAGGAGATGGGGAATCAAGCCACTTTCCTCAGAAAAAGGGACAGCCTGCCAAGGGGACTGGAGGCAGCACCTAAGGCCAGGCCTGCTCTTGGCTTAGGGAAGTAGAGGGGGCCATGCAGTCCAGCCCCAGGGCAGAGTTCAGAAGTAAGCATCCTGCCGGGCCTCAGCTGCTGAGGACCTGTCCCCACCATCATGGGGGCCTGGAGGCCCATCTGTCTTTCGACGCAGCGAAAGCTTCCGGCCTTGGGCCTTCTTCTCCTGCTTCTGCCGCTCCTTTTCCTGCTTCTGCTGTTCTTTCTCCTGTTTCTCCCTCTCCTTCTCCTGCTTCTCCCGCTCCTTCTCCTGCTTCTGCCGCTCCTTCTCCCGTTCCTTTTCCTGCTTCTGCCGCTCCTTCTCCCGTTCCTTTTCCTGTTTCTGCCGCTCCTTCTCCTGCTTCCGTGTCTCCTTGCTGGGACCCAAGGGGGTGCTGTTGCCAGTAGGTGAGGGAAGGGATGGATGCAGTCCCTCAGCGGTGACCACAGGCCCTGGGGCAGGCCCAGCACTGGCTCTGCGGGCAGGAGGAGGGGGGGAGGGGGGCCCTCCAACTGCCCGGGAGCCTC